ACATCCACAGTCATTAAAGAACCAGTTGCAAATCAGAAGGAAAAACCAGAGGAGATAAGAAAGAAAAAATAGCACTAAAATGTAAAAAAAAAAACGGAAAAATAGAAAACCAACTGCACAATAAGAGGTTCAAAATTAATGATTTCGCATTACAGGTGCGCCTTTCTGTGAGTACAGCAAAAGGAACCTTGCACATGCCATAGTCGGTGAGTTTGATGTGACCCTCTGCATCAATTAAGACATTGTCGAGCTTTAAATCACGATAAATTATCCCACGAGAATGCAGAAAGTGTAAAGCAATTATGATTTCCGCCGAATAAAATCTGCAGTTTCAGCACAAATTTAAAATGGAATCTAAAATGAGAAATTCGAAGTTATATAAAAATTACAGATTTAAGAATACGACCAAGCCGGATAATAATAGCATAATTATAGGGCTAAGATTTACCACAGATAAACAGAAAATGTGTCAAAACTATAAGCTGTATGAACGTGAATCAAAGAAATCCGGTAAGCATGAAGCAGTGGCAGGTAGCATTGTTCTTGTGCCGAGGGTTTGATTCCATTCGGGAATCATTTATTTGTTTCGACAGTAGAATAACACGGTGCAGGCTTAGGGCTTGCCAACAGACTGCTTTTACAAACCATTGAGAGAAGAAGCCGTCGATAGTAGATGGATTTTGGCATTTGCCACCCCGACTGCCACCGCCTATCGCAGAGGGCTAATATGTAGAAGATTCTAAATTTGACTGCAACAGTAAGATGCTTTGAAGCTTGTTATATTATAATAAAATAAAGTTTGGAAGATAGTACCAATTATTAATAATGCACTGCTTAAAGAGGATATACCTGGCGTGGTCTTCGGGCAATTTACGCTGCCGTTGCATATGAAACATTAGATCACCGCCAGGCACAAATTCGATGACAAAAAACAAACGTGAATCAGTCTGCAAGTAGACAAAAATATCTAAGGAACTGGTCTGAAAAATGCTTGAAAACACATGTAAACAAAATAACTGGCCAACGCACGGCCTGCCCGTGCGAAGATGCGTTTTTTGCATGGTTCCCCGCAGTTTT